CGCTTTGTTTTTGACTAGGTTAAAAACGCTTTTAAAAGTGTCAGACTCTGATGCTTTCAAAAGCGTCAACTAAAAACGTTTTTTACCCCATCCTGACCGAGTCAGGAAAACAGATCCCTACTTGCATCCCAAACCGTTTGACCACCACCTGAAACGGCCAGGATACGCGTAAAAATAGCAGCCATCTCAGGCGGCAATCTGAAATTTTTGCTGGGAACAGAGCTCAGACATATTCAACTTCCAACCAGGTGAGGAAGATGAGTGATGAAATTTGACTTGAAAATTTTCTGGGCTAGGAAACAACGAAGTTCATTTCAATCATCTAGAAATTGAATTTTATTGCAAATATTGTCAAGCTTATAAATGAGAGTATTCAGAGTAATTTATTAATGCGTGGAGAATCAAAGAAAATCCAGCTACATGATCCAATAATATTCGATGATTCCACCTTCTGTGCGGCGATGATTTTGACATTTCAATTTCCTGATATTGCTCCGTTTTAGAATTTTTCATTTCTTTAGCAGCGATGATTTAATGATAAGCGCAAATCCCTATTGAAAGCAAGCAAATTGACACCAATGTCGGTGCTGCTTCTCGGATTTCTCAGGACGGCTCGAATAGAATGGTCCGCCGTGGCCCACATCATCGTCAGGACCGGAAGTTATTTGTGGCAGGGAAAAAAAATCGGATATCAAGGCAGGAGCGATCTCTCGTATCGGCGTGGCCTGCAACATCCTGTGAGCCTTGCGGAAAAGAGAATTAACAAATCATGGGCACAGTGAGAAAGAAAAGGAGAGATGTATGTTTCATTCGGCAGCCCAACCCCGTTGCTGCTTCCGTGGCCCGTATTCAGGCAGGCCCTCGATTTCATGAATATGCAACCTACCTAGGGTTCAGTAGAAAGGGAGAGAGGCAGAGTTTGGAGCAGTCTTCTTTTCGGCGGTCCGGTGAAAAATATGATCCGATCGACGCAATGACAGCAGTCAACAATGCCGTCGACGGGAGGAAGTCACCCATGCAAATTTTTGAAATCGTTGACCCGAAAATAAGCCTGTTGTACATTGATGCGAACTTCAAGATCTCGAGTTTTCGAAGAATTATTTCGCGCATCGAATAAAATATTTTGCTTTAGTAGCGCTCCCTTCCGGTCGAAACAAGATCAATCTGCAAATCAGTTCAAGAACCCTATGCCTATGGGATGCATTTCAGTCTATATTTCGAAGAATTATTTCGCGCATCGAATAAAATATTTTGCTTTAGTAGCGCTCCCTTCCGGTCGAAACAAGATCAATCTGCAAATCAGTTCAGGAACCCTATGCCTATGGGATGCATTTCAGTCTATATTAAAAAAAAAAAAAGCTTCTCGACGTTTTCACCATACAGTAGTTTTTCGCGCTCAACAAGTTTCAAGAGTTGGAATCATTTATTGGTGAAATTCAGAAGGAGATGAAGGACGAGAAGGAATAGTTTTAAAATCTGCTGCGATTTTAGATGTGATGTTGTTTTGCCATCCCACATTACTTCTCAGAGAAAATTGATAGATCTGCCCATATTCACAAGAGCAAGCAAAATATTTAACTTGTAAAATGAGGGTACAGTTCGTAATTTGTAAAATTAAGGGACCTACGTGAGAAACTCGGTAGTGGAAAGACACGGAATCAATTTTGTGTGTTGGCAAGAATCGCTTGAATACTCTAACAATCCTCCCCGTTACCACGAAGTCGTTCCAAAATGATTTCAAGTTTAAATATAGTGTATCTGGTTGACTGCTGGTCAATGATCGAAATCTTTTCGCAATAAAAAGATTTCGTTCAAAGTCAGATAATTCATTTGTCGCGTCAGCTGCGTCCAATCCTGATGATTGATCAAACTCCCAATTAACGGTGTGAAATTGACTGTATATTTTTATATTTTTGAATTAGGAAGCTATCAAATTGCATCCTAGGCATCCTTTCATGAAGCAAATGAAGGTACTGCAATAACGAAATTTTCCACTGGAGCTGTCACGAAGTCACTGATGATTTCTCGCAGAGCTAAAACCGCGCGAAGCAAAGTTATATGTTTTTTTTGTACTTGATGACATTCCGTTTCGCGTACTCTTCAAATCCGCAAGAAACTCACACATCAATCTCGTATAAGTAAAATTATGAAGCGAAGAAGATTCGTCGGCCATGATCACATTCGTGGAGCCTCAGTGCTGAGTGTGCACTTGATTGAGGCAGCTTAAACTTGTCAGATCTCGCAAGATTCTCTAGAATTACTGCAGTTCAAAGAGGGCTCTGAAACGGCGGAACAGTGCATTGATGCACGCTACACCTGGTTCATTGCTTTCACTCGCTAAAATTTAGGAAGCAAAACAGGGGACCCCTGAATATCCGACAAACAGGGAGAGCTAAGATTGCTAAAAAAAAATAATGGGATAACTTATTGGCAAAAATATCATCATTTTTAGCATTTCAAATTTAGTGTTTTCATGAAAGGGGGAATAGCATGAGAAAACTTTGCTGAAAAATTGACCAGATAAATATCCCGGTACGAACGAATTTCCATTGGTCGGACACGCGGCCCTCTCTCAACGGGTATCCGCGAGAGAATTACGAGGGCCCAAAGTAAGAATAAGAAGCATGACTTCATTCTATATTTCTTCATTCTCCAGGTTTTTCAGAGCGTTGCACTGATTTTTTAAAACACAGAACTTTGCGATTGGCAGCACGTGATGCTGAGATTATCACTACTGTATAATGCGAGGAATGCATTGCCCCCCCCCCCCCCCCCACACCCCGAGAGAGTGACTGTACATGAGGAGAAGCCAATGCCATTCAGTTACCCGTATTTACTCAAGTGTAATCCTCTCAACCTTAATTTTTTTTGGCATAGAATCCGGCCAAAAACGTATTTCATGTTTGACGCGCCCCCAAATTTTTGCTGGTTTAAAATATTCATTTTTCTTCAGATACCGGCTGTATAGGTGTTTGACTTGATAATCATGCGAATAATCGTTATAGGCTTAATAAGTTGAAGCCTTGTGAGAAGATAATTGCCAAATATAATTTTCTGCGTGTGGCTTTTTCGGAAAAAATGCGGTACATTTAATCTACTATAATAAAGTTACTTGCCGTCCTGGGTTTGCAGTTTTTTTAATTTTCACCAGCCCTCCCTTCCTTACTGCCCCTTGCCTCCCTCCCACAGTGCCCCAGAGAGGCCTGCAGGAGGGTCCCGTTTCCCGTTTTTCAAAGTTTGAAAATTTAGGAAAAATTGAATTATCAACAGAAATCAATTTTGAAAACTTTATGAGAAGTGCCATGATGTTTTCTACATTTCCATTTTTTAAATTTTGAAAAAGCTTAAAAATTCATCAAGTTATAGTGAAAAATGCAAAACTTTTTTCAAAAACGGGGATGAAACTGGAAACAAATACTTTTATATTTTTAATTTTAGCTTTTCAAGTTTTTGGTTTTTGCTCAATGAAAAAAATACTTAAATTCACAAAACATCCATGCACAATCACCCCTAAAATATGATCAACATTCCACTAATAACAAAAAAGTTATTATGAGCTAAACTGAAAAAAATGGACTTTTTTGAAAATTCTGTTTCCTGTTTTGCTAACTTTAAAAATTTGTCAAAATTCCAATTATTGAGCAATTTCCAAATTGTTTCAAAGGTTACATGTGCAATGAAGTTTTCAACATATCCTTTTTTGAAATGTTTGAAAAACTTCAAAATTGCATGAGATAGAATCAAAAACACAAAAACGTTTTTGAAAATCATATGAAAATTGGGGAAAAAAAGATTTTGTACTTGGAATTTTTACTCATTCAATTTTCAACATTTTTCAGACATAAAAATATGTAAAATCATTAAACATCTGTGCGCATGTAACCCTGCCAAAAAGTTTGAAATTTCATAAAAATCCTAGAAGTTAGAATGAGCTAAACAGAAAAGTTTGAATTCCTGGATATGTGTTTCTTCCCATTTTGCCAAGTTACAAAATCTGTTTAAAATTCAATTTCCACTCAATTATAAAATTTCCTCCAATGTTGCAAGTGCCCAGATGTTTTTTAAATCTCACTATTTTCAATTTTGAAAAATCTTTAAAATTGAATGGGCTATAGACAAAAACACAAAAACATTTTTGAAAAAAGTTCAAAAATGGAGGGAGGGGGGGTATTTTCACTTCTTGATTTTCAGCTTGATCAATTTTCAACATTACTAATTGAAAAAAGTTAATTTTTAAGAACATCTTTGTGCACAAAGCCCTGTCAAAAATTTCAAGTTGGAATCATTCAAAATTGGCAAGGAGCTAAAGTGAAAATGTTTCAATTCTGTTAGGGGATGGAAGGGAATTGAGCACCACAAGAAACTTGAGAAGTGGTAGCAACTTCATCAAATTGGACAAATAGGGTGCCCAGCCACACCTGGCAATGAGTATAAAACTGATGCTTCTTGGCATGTTACCAGCTTTCAGCATTCAATTTTTTTTAAATTCATTTTCATCATGTAACAATCATACATTCATGTTTGGCTGGGCACTCCAAGTTGGGATTGTAACAAGTAATGAAATCCCCCTGCTCATGTGCCAGTTGTGGCCCACCGGGCCACAACTGACACATTGAGCACAAGTACAAGATTACTGGTGGTCCTTCACCAGTTAACCGACTTTAATCAAAATTTTTTTCAAGTTCTTTGCATAATTTTTAACAGTAACAAGTAATAAAATCCCCCTGCTCATGTGCCAGTTGTGGCCCACCGGGCCACAACTGACACATTGAGCACAAGTACAAGATTACCGGTGGTCCTTCACCACTTAACCAACTTTAATCAAAAAAAATTTTTCAAGTTCTTTGCATAATTTGTAACATGATGAACAGTTGCATGTGGGCACCCCCTCTTCCACATCCAAGTTTTCAAAACTAAAATGTGTCCAATGCCCAGGTGTGGCTGGGCACCCCCAGCTTGTTGATCATAATGTTCGCTGAATTTTCGCGAATTCTTGCGGAATGACGGGCGTTTTCAGGTCATACTACGGTTGGAACGGTGCCCGGAAACTCCGTGAGAAGTATTTTCTCCGATTACACGGATCCATAGTTCCACGCGTTCTAGGAAGTGATAAGATGCCTCGGATGGTGAAAAAACGAATCATTAAGTGAGGAAAGCATCCGCAGTGTGCCTTGTTTTTACGCGGAAAGCTGACGCAAATTCATCAGCTTGCAGGGTTCCGTGTTGGAAATCTACTTCATTTGATGCTGGACCTAGGCGCCTACTACAGACTTATAATTGCAATTTTATATTTCGCAGGAAATCGGGATTGTTCTTTGTTTTGTCTTTATCACCATTGTGGTCTTGAAATGGCTCTGTCAGCAAGTCCTTTATTTGGGAGTCCCGATACACGTGGGCAGCAGCGCAACTTGCTCGAGTTCCGAGCCGGTAAGATGTTCATGTCCACTGGGAACATGGTCCACCCGGACAAACGGAAAGGCCTCGTTTATATGTACCAGTCTTCCGATGGATTGATGCATTTCTGCTGGAAGGATCGTACAAGCGGTGCGGTTGAAGATGTGAGTCGTAATCACTGAGCAATCACCAGGCTTTATGTTTTACGGATAAATGTTACGAATGTGTTCAGGATCTCATCATCTTCCCGGAAGATTGTGAGTATAAGGCTGTACCTCAGTGTAAAACCGGCCGTGTGTTCGTTCTCAAGTTCACATCATCGTCACGGAAGCAATTTTTCTGGATGCAAGAACCTAAAACCGATAAGGATGAGGAATTTTCCGCGAAGGTAGGATTTCAGCTTGATGAATGAAGTGTAGCGTATTATTTCAAGCTTTCCATTTTTGTATAAGGTGAATGAGTACTTGAATACTCCACCGTCTGCTCGAGCCGCCCGCAGGATTAGGCACAACGCGGAAGCGCCGAGCACGGCGGGAGGCGGATCTTCATCTTCCGCCGCGGCGGCTGCTGCTGCTGCAATCGCTGGTAGTGGCGCCGGCTCTGGCCGTGATCCCATGAGCGAAGAGAACCTCCAGAGCATGCTCATGAACTTGAATCAGGATCAATTGATTGAGTTATTCGGTGGAGTTGGTGGACTCGGACAGTTGTTGGGAGTGAAGTGAGCGATTGTAGATATTACGGCCTAGCGTGTTCCTTGTTTCTAAAAGTAGAGATAGGCCAAAAACCAATCGAAAAGTGCGATACTGTCTGGTTTTAAACCGTTTCTAGTGTGCTGCTACTGCTAGGTGTCGAGTTTTCATTTTCAATTTGCCTTGGCCAATGTACTGTACTCCGAATGGATGATTGAAACTCCAGACGATGCGCGCTAAATTTGGCTCGAACCCCTACATACTGATGATCCTTTCTAACACGAAAACGTGTGCATCCTCTGGTTACCCAAGTACAACACGCACTTTTTTTCTGTAAAATCAAGGCTGTATACAGTCTGTAGTGTGGTTTGTTCGAGGTGCGAGTATACATATGTTTAGGTAAAAAATCATGAATCCTGTGATGCAAACCGTAAGTGCACCTCTGTAGGTGTAAATAATAAAAGGGAACTTATGTGCGGCACCGTTCCTTTTACTATTCCTTCGATTTGCTATACATAATTGACTCGAGTTCCACGTGCCCTCAAATGAATACATACACCCCCATTTTTTTTTAGCGGATTTCGCCCTATTTCCCTTACCCCTTCTTTAAAAGTCAAGAAGTAGGAAATACTTTTTCTGTGTGGATCCATTTTTCCCATAGATATTTTTTCTTTCCTATTTTTATATGCAGAAGCAGATGAAGTGGGCTTGGAAAAATGACAGCTTCAATCAGATGAATATTTCCCCTTCCTATACTTCCTGTTGCATCTTCGACTGATATATTTGTGAAATTAGTATTGCTTGAACCTTTATTTTCTTTTCCATGGACAAGGAGACTTGGCACTGCGCATTTTCTCTTCATTTTTTTTGTTTTTGGTTAGATGTACTGCCGTGAGTGTGAGGGGTACTGGTTTTGGGGATTTTTCATTTGAAAAACTTATCCCTGGGTTCCAGGTGCACCCTAGTTTTTGCCCTTAATTTCTGTAAAAAGGGTGCGTGTTTAACCCGAGTGATTTGGTAATATTTATTGAAGGGATTGGTATGTTTAACATTATTACAGGTGGACTCTCTGCAACGACAAGCCGGGGATTAGAGAAAATTCGTTGTATGAAAGTTCAATAACATGGGTAGAAACCCCTATGCTTATGGGACTTTAAAAAACAAATGTTTTAATTAGAAAATCATAGTAGACCAGATTGTTCCAGAGAAAGTCTACCTATGTTCGGAGAAAATTCGATCTTGAACCCAGAAAATGAGGGTGCGTGGTTTATTGGAGATACTGTACATTTTTGTCAAACTCCACTATGGAAAACCGAAGTGCGCGCCCTTCTCATGTGAATACGGTAGTCGATGAATCTGCCCGAAAAAAGCTTGGCTGAGGAGAATAATTTTCAAGTTATACTGAAGTAAATTACCTCCGACAGCCGTTGAAGGAGTGTGTTCAGTTGTGTTCTTCAGAAGTATTGAGAGACTGAAGGATGTAGAGCACTTTACATTTAGAAGTGAAATTAAACTTGGATCATCTCGACACCATCTCGTGAAGTTGACACCTTGTTTGTGTTCCAGCCGCGCGAGGACGAACGCAGCTCTGCAACAAGCGATGAACAGTGCTCGGAGCGGGGGGTCGGCCGGTGGAACAAGGACGAGTGGTAGGACTGGCTCAACGGGAGCATCTACCGCAGGTGATACCGCCACTGGACCGGCTGCTGTAACTGCAAGTGCGGGAAGAGACACGAACAATAATCCTCCTGGCGGAGCTGCAGCTGGAGCCAGTAAGCCGCCGATACAACTCACGGATCTCCAGAATATTCTCAAAGGAATCAAAACCCCTGGCGAAGAGGCTGCGAGTCCCAAGGGTGAGAAGACCTTTTCATCTTATTTGAAAGAGTTGAATTTTGTTTTGAGTATCCTTTTCAGAGTTTTGAGAAAATTTCTCAACTTTTACATCGAGAAATGTCAAAGATTTGTATTACTGTGCTTCTTTCATCTGAGTCGACAGCGTTGAATTTCGCTTTTAATAACATTTGTAGTGTTCTGAGAAAATTTCAAGTGTTCAATTTCGCTTCGACCAACATTTGCAGTGTTCTACGGAAATTTCAAACTTATTCGTCCAGAAATGTCGGGAAGATGTGGCTTACCGTGCCTCTTAGTCAGTTTTTTTTTTATGCAGAAAGGCTCTCAACGATCTTGTCTGAAACAATTACGTTTTTGCAGTGTATAATGTCGTTAGTACAAGGAAGCATTTGGGCTTTGAAAGAGCTTCGCGAAAAACGAAAATTCGTTGAAACGAAATAAACTGAACATTGTGGCTATCGGACGGGGGGCTAAAAAATAAATTCGTCGTTAGCATTAATTCCTTGAATTGAGATTCTACTGTATAACGAATTTGTTCCTCCCGTATGGTTCTCTCCCCCATGTTATAGAGGTTCTCTACAACGGTTTTTTTTTTGGTACAAGAATTTCATTTTGGAGAGAGAAAAAGTCCAACTGTATATTTTTTAAATTGAGAAACTCTTTGAAAGTGAGAGCTAAAGAAATTTACTACCGTTATTAAAAATGTTGTTTCTCTTACGTAAGTTCAACTTACCGGTACTTCGAGTTTCACGGGAATCAGTTTTTTGTTTTTGTGGCGTAGTGGACTTTTTAATGTTTAATATTTTCCGTATTGAGTTTCGTCATGATAATCGTCTTATGTTTTTTCTTCTGTATCTAGTCGACCTCAGCGCTGCATTGAATTCGGAAAGTCTGAAGAGTATTTTGGACAACCCCGAGTTCATGGCTGCCCTCGCTGAACACGTACCAGAAATGGAAGGTAAAGCAGCCACGGAAGAGGTAAAAGACACCGTCAGGAGTCCCCAATTTCAACAAGTTGGTCATTCACTGTTTTCTTGGCAATGGTTTGGTTTGGTTTTGCGTGGCTTTAATTACTGTTGAGAGGATGTCTTAAAATGTTCTGTGGTCTCACGGGTAATTCAAATTATGCCGATTCAGAATGAGAGAAAATCAATTTAGAACGATGATATTTTTAAAATTTCAAACGCAACGAGAGTTGGTCTCTTCGTTTCTGATCTGGCTTTTTCGATTCTTTTTGTTAGATGGAGATCTAATCCGACGTACCCCGCCAGTGTCGGAAAATAGTACTGTGCTGAAATCTGATTTTTGATTTCTGATCAGGTGTGATTAAAAAAAAAAAGAACCATGACATTTCCCATGATGTAGGATGGGATTAATTTCGGATTCTAAGAAATTATTCGATTTACTGCACGATTGCACGATGATCAAGGAAAACTTTCCAGTTGAAGGCAGAATTCTTTACCCATGTCCAAAAGTGCTGAAATTGGAATTTTGGTCGTTTTAACTATCTACAGTATACGTACAAAAGATAAATGGGTAAAACAGCAACAAAATTTCAGTTTTTTAGCTGGCCTGACGAAGTCTTGGCACCCTGTGACATGAGTGGAAAACTCTGTTTGTAACGGGAAAGTTTTCGCGTATCATCATGCAGTAAATTATAAAACTTGTTTATAAATCCCAGAACCTTAAAACATCATGGGCCATATCATGTTTCTGTTTTACAGTCACACCTACTCTAAAAATATCAGAGGTCGCGTCCAACTGAGACAACCTTCGTATGTGCCCGTCGCACTAACATGTTTAACAGTTCTTCTTAGGTGCGATTACCCTGGTACGAAAAGCAATTCCTTATGAGTATCCTGATAATTCAGGGATTTTCTCTTTGATGGTGAAAATTCAGGTCGGTCAAATACGTAATTCGGTGAACGAAAGTTATCGAAGTCAGGGTTGCCTGGGGAAAAAACTGAACAAATGTACATATTGTTTTTTTGACATTTTCATTGGCTCGGATTATTCTCCCTCTTGAACAAGCTGTCTTCAAAGAAAGAAGTTGATTGCAAGATACTGACAAAATTTATCAACCGTCCCTTGTCAAAATTGTAAAATTGCAGTGCGATTTGTTCAGAAGATGCCGTAAACCAAATATTTGAAGTAGAATTTGCAGAATCGAAGTGGAGCCTGATTCTTTTTTAATTGCGATTGTATGTTTTTCGCAGGCGGTTGAGTTATTTTCGAGTGCTCTACAATCCGGGCAATTAGGCCCTGTGATCCAACAATTCGGTCTCGGGGCAGAGGCTGTGAAAGCTGCCAACAAAGGCGACTTGGAGGCCTTCTTGCGGGCATTAGATACCGCAGCGCCGAAGAAGTCTGACGAAGGTGCGAGTAAGAAACCAGACAAGAAGGACGACGCTGACGCCGACATGGCAGAATGATCCAGTCCTGTGAAATTGGTTTTTTTTTCGGTGTACAATGGATACTTTTTTGCTCTTGAGTCTGCTGATTCGTCTTCTTGGTGTCTTAACCTTTTTTCTCGGTGTACGCCGTACGCGTAAATGAGGAATACAACGTCTTCAAACACAGAGTCTGCTTTCGTGAATAATACAAATATATTTCCTTCGATAATGTGTTCAAGAAAAATCATTTTAGTAATTTATATTCCGTTTTCAAAATCGAAATAGTATTTTCTGTGTAACCTTGCTGCAGTGAGCGTGTGGGTTTAGTTCCGTTTCTAATGATTAGTCAGTTTCAATGAGAGGATCTCTTCTGGCAATCGAAGATTTAAATCAAGATCCGTGCGGTGGATTGGGATCGCTTTTTTCTACAGCTTCGTTGCTTCCGAGTTTTAAGATTTTTAAAAGGGAAAATTACGGAATGTGATTCTCGTTCAATGATGCAATATTTAGTGATCTTGAAGTAGAAGTGAGAATATTCTGCGATTCTCAGGAATCAGAATAACTTTTTCTTTGAACAGGTCCTCGGAGAACTATTCTCTCTCTGTTCGCTGATTTTCCGTCCATGATGCGTCTCGTTGAATTCCTTTCAGAAGTAGATTGAATTAAGTTTGTCTAGCGAAAAGAAAATGCCTCCTCTGAGTGCCGAAGTGGACGTGTTCCGCGTTCCGCATTATCGAATGAAATCCTTGGTGAACCGTTCCCTGCGTCGCTACGCCGAAGCCGACTTCACGGACAATCTCGTGCCCAACTCGTTGCTCGTCCACCTGCGTCGACTGCTCGAAGACATCCGCACCCACGAGTCCATTGAAGAGTCGCTCATCATGAAGCAGCTCGTGGAACGCGTCGGAGGACTTCCTGGCCCTCGTCCGGACTGCTGGGCCAAACTCAACGACCACACGTGCGTCATGCCCAAGATCGTCGACCTCGTTGCGGAGATCACACTCGCCCTCGCATCCACGTCACGAAAGGTTGATGCCAAGGCTGTGGTCGGTGCCACGTATTACCTGGTGCATTCCGTTTACTTGGAGCACATTGTTGAAGAAGAGGGCTTGATCATGTCGCTTTTGCTGGACTACTTCAACCCGGAGGAGCTGGTGCAACTGAAGAGGGTTGTGGTGAATGAACACGCTAGGTCTATGATTGGCTTCTCCACGGCATGTTGCGAATATGGTTCGGGATGTGTTGGTAATGAGATCAGCTTTGACCTGGACATGAGATCCGCTGGTGGATTGCCGTTTGAGAGTTGCGAGGAGGCCTGGGCGTGTCTGGAAGCTGCTGTTGGTGACCTAAGGCCAGAGGACTTGAAGCCCAAGATCACTGTTATTTCGTGTCAGGTTAGTTGAGTACCATCCTGGGCTGTGATCGGTGGTGATTCACGCGACAGTTGGGAATGAATGACCCGCATTAAAAATGCTATGCATTCATTTCTTCGACTTCAATACAGAACGGTACAAAACAAAATTCGGAAAACGGGGAACAATTCTACGGAAGAAGATAAGCGATGGGATTAAAAAAGAAACTTCTTATCACGTGTGATTTCAGATTTTCAAACACATCGAACTTTGCATGCGACGAATCCGTGAAAGCTTATGACGATTTTGTGAAGCATTAAAAATGTACGATGTACCGCAAAAACATCCCAAGGAAAGAGGACTACGTTCATTGCGGTACTGTACTGTATATCGAATAATCGAAACCCTGTTTTTTCGTGGATACTGAATCTTTCTTCCGGGAGGCATCTCATGAGATGCCTGCCGGAAGAAAGATTCAGTAACCACGAAAAAACTTGTCTTCGACATGCAAACACTTGAATGGATGGATCCCTCTCATTTATTTCCTCGTTCGCTCATTGTTCGAAAGGATGACGGGATTCCCTGGCGCTTATTGCGATGAGACGACCCACCTGGGACTTGGAGCTGATCTCAGAACCTTGCAAATTGCATTAGAAACTCCAGAAACACGCTGTTACCTGCGCGTATCCCGACAGTTAGCAAATACAGTACAGTATATCACTGACATTAACGTCGGGATTCACGGGGATTACCATCTTCTAGTTTTTCCTGTCATCCATTTATCATGGAATCAAATGCGTTACTGATGAGGGTTATGTTGGTTAGTTGGAAGTACTGTATGATCATTTTTGTTTGCTTACCGAAGCTAAGAAGCTTTTCGTCGAATAATTACCGAAATTCAATCCTCACTTCCCGACAATGGTGATGCAACGACGACGGTTAGGTTCACATTGGAAACCTCCGCTGACCGTGGTCACCACAAGGTAGTGAGAGCGAGGAATGCAACGCTGTCAATCTACCGAAATTTTCGATGACCCTTGTTCGGAAAGGAAGAGGGTTATTCTCCTGTCGCGAGAATCTGATGGATTTCATCTTTGCGCCGATTCAGTTCTGTTTCCTCCACGCACAAAACGACCGATGCTTTATAGGTCAACATTTCGCGCTCGCAAGGTGAAGGCAAAATGTTCGGTCTGCTGGGCAATACATTTTTCATGTTGCTTGAACAACGCGCGCGCTTTTACGGGAGTTTTGGCATGGGGTTATGTCAGAAGCTGGTGGTCCTCCGCGCCGGCGCCACGAACCTCCCAACCGAGGTTCGGTTGAACCTTCGCGAATGACTGCCCGAACCGAGGACAGGGTGACTACGTCGCTGTCCGTCGATCCGAGAGACAGGGCTACTGCTGCGCCTTGGCATCCCCTTGGACCGCTGCGAGGGGTAGAGGTTCACTTGCGTTCGCCGCGGCTGGCAACCCTTGCTCATGGACCCCAGCCGAGGCAGACTGATACCCGCCATGTCGTCGAGGAATAGTGTCGGGAAGTTGTAGTCGGTTCGCGCGTGCAGACACACGCTTCTCCCTTCGAAGTAAGGAAACCTGGAACGTTGAGTTACGGTGAGAAGTGGGACTGGTGCCGAGTTGGGAATGTTGGAGCGTAGTGAAGAGAATGATTGAGAACTGGAGGGGAATTCAAGTTTGAAGGGATGTGCCGTTCGGTTCAGTCATTTAGTGGAACGCAGCGAAATCGCCCAAGGCCGAATCATTTTAGTGGATATTACTGGTGGGACTTTTATTGTTCTGTACTGTACAGTAATCTCATATGAACGGGTCCTTTTTCGGAAGTGGGAATTAAATGAAGGATGACTTGACAAGTCTGATGCGAATTCAAATTGTAAATGGTAAAATTTATGAATTTTGGATCCAAGCCGGGATTTGTCCAGAATGCTTCCTTCTGTCACGCAATCTGGAAGATAATTTAAAATATGAAATCGGAACTGTGATCTGTTCTTTTGGACAAGGCAGATTTGCAGTTCTGCAGCCTCGAGTTCCGATCTCTTGATGTCCATAAAAGAAAGCAATTAATGTTTCTTCTTCCAAAAATTTTGTTCGGAAATACTTGGTGATCAAAGTAATTTGAAGTTTGAGCATGTTCATTGTTATATACTTTTACTGTGGTTTGAAGGCACATTTTTGAAGTACTCACTCGTACAGAGTCCAGGAGAGGTTTCCCGAAATTATCGCGGATGGTGGCCACCATCTGATATTCATGGGGAAAACAGGGACGTCGTATTGGGAGAAGTACTCCATTCCCTGAAGTGCAAAAAATTTGAGTGCTTTCGGATTACATTTTCTTTCAATTGTGATTGCGAGGGAGCTATCCTGAATTATGTACTGTGCTGATGTACGCATTGAGGACACTCAAAATGAAAAACGGGGTAGGGGGATGGATTTCCTCAGCCATAGGAATTCGAAATGTGGCGTTTCCGTAATACTTTTCCGGGCTTTTGTCAATTTTCGTGCGAATATTTTTGAAAATCGCGAATTTTGAAAAGTATGAACCTGGTATGCAATATCGAAAAGGTCGGCTTTTTCTGATTATTTTTGGCAGTGATTACCTTGAAGCTGCGATATTGGTAAACGGTGATCCCGTTTGCCATGTAATCTTCGCGATTGCCGACGTATCGCATGCTGGAAGCCGCGTCATTGACGAAGTTCAAGTTGAAGCAGAAATTCGTTCCGTACGCGTATTCCATCGCTCCGAGTGCGTTCGCTCCGAAGTCGTATTCTTCGTAAAACAGCCACCTGCGACGTGCGAAAGTTATTTGGATGCACTGAATTTTCATCACTTTATTTTGAATCAATCGGATTCTAGAGTGTTTTCGTTGACGTAGAGAATTTCGATGCATGTGCGACTGTGTTGCCGGCCAATTTACTCTTATTCGAATGGTAATTTTTTTTTTCTTTCGAAAATTCATGAATCTGTATTTCTGATGCGATATATTACGACATGAGATGGGTGATTTTTTTGTTCGTTCACGAGTTGAGGAAAAAATTAAAAGAAAAAACGCTAGATTTTTGTTTCGGGTGTATATCCAGGACAGTTTTATATAAGAAAAATCTTCCTTGTAACGAGATTTTTCTGTATGCAGGTGAACCTTAATAACTCGAACGTCCCTATGTCAAATTTTTGTCGAGTCTCTGTCTGAATTTTCCCGAAAACACTGCATTAAAAATCGCCTAACTCGAAGAATTTTCCCCCTCAAACGTCCCTAAGTCGAATTTTCAGAGGCCTTTTGGCTACAAATTTATTGACGCAGGAAAGTGAAAAGCAGCTGTAGTGCAACTTGATCGAGTGTTGAAAGGAAGAGAAAGATTAATTGGACAAAGAAAGCCTTGCGCTCAACTTGAGCATCCTGCCGACTCATTCAGGAGGCAGTGTAAGGCCTAGAATATTACCAATTACAATTTCCTGTAATTATTCTTACTTTTCCCCAACAAAAATGCTTGTTTCCCCGGGTCGATATTTTTTCTTGCTGGTCGCTGGAAGTCTGATGGTAATGCACAGTGTAACAAGTTTGGGGCAAGAAGGGAATGGGCCAATTTGCGCTTTGAACTCAGCCATGTACAAACCCTGTCGTGGAAGTTAGTGACGAGACTTACATGCCAGTGACGCATGCGCTGGAGATGACGTTGTCGTAGTTGACGCCGTCGGGCGAGCAGTTGGCCAGGTTGCCGCAGTAGTCGTCGACTATGATGGAGGCCCCCAGTAGATCGGGCCACGAGTACAGTTGCGCCGTCGACGCCCGATGCCCCGACGATGTCGGCAACGGTATGTAATCTGATGTGCGGTAAAAAAAATCGTGGTCTTTCAAGTTTTAATCACTGTCTTGATTGATGGGGGTTATTTGTTTCGACATCATCAGACAATTTTATAATTTTCAATTTGCAGGTTCATGCCCGAAAACAATTTTTACAATGTCAATATACTGTATGGTAGTTTTTCTTCTGTGTACGTTTTTGATGGCCTCATGAAATAGGAAACAATTAGTCTTTTATCGAATCGTCTCCGTAATGTACAATAATTGCAGCCATCTCTTGACTTTTTGCACATCGAATGACTGCTTTTAAGGTACAGTACAGGTGATTTTTCATCCCGGAAATCGAGGATCAAAAGAGAAAAGAGTTCTGTTTTCAGCTTGTGATCAATCCTTTGTTTCGTTCCTGGAGACTTTCAGTGTTTTGAGACCTTTTTCTTTGACAACTCCGTGAAAGAATGTGTATGAACTTTCTGTTCCACTGTGGTAGGAAATTTGATGGGCGGAAAAACGTGATCAACGTGATTTTAAATAAATTACCAGTTATGTACGCTGCTTAGAACTGAATCGCAGGACATGTATCTTTTGTCGTAAATTGCGGTACATTCCTGAAAATTGACTGAAGTAATTCCATCTTGGATCACACCAACGTTAGTTACAATTTGAGAAAACGCAGAGTTACATTGATCAGTTAAAAACTCATCATCAACCTAATAAGTTAATTATAACTGAACAGATTTTTGTGTATACATTTTTTGATTTTTCTGGTATGGATTGGAATGACTCGGGAGGAAGGCACCATATTAATACAACAGAGGAGTTTAATTTTCACGAGCATTCTCAGGAGTTGTAGAAATGGATAGCTTGAAAGATAAATATTTTCTGTGCCAGCTTGAACCATTCACGAGACACTGGATGAAACATATTTCTGCCTTTTGCCCAAAATAAAGAAAATTTAAAATGATGAATCAACTGCTCACAAAGCTACATCCTGCAGTGTGGATCATGTATGCTGAGTGATTACAACATGAATGAGTTACTGTATAATAATTGAGATTGAATGTACAGTTGGCCCCTGATAAACCACCAAACTCATCGGTTCCCGTCGAGTTTTTGTCCTCAAAAAATCGCCCTTTTGTTGAAGGGATCAGCCCAGCTATTTTTCAGTCTTGGCTTCTTCGGGACACTTGTCTCCTACACCTCACACAATTCAAAATTGAGAAAATCAACTGAATTATTGCCATGCTTCAAAAGAAAAATATTCCAATTTCGTTACGCTGATTAAGTTTTGGTTGTTAGATTATTGCGCTTTTATTTTCCGAATGCAATTTTGGATTTGGAATTTATTTTTTTTTGAAACATTGCGGATTGGCTGACAGCAACCAGTTGTGAAGTAAAGGAAGCTTTTTAAGATAGTGCTTTCTGAAACAGATGGTGAGCCCTTGTGGGTCAAAATAGACAAAAACTCAATATAATCAGGAACTATGAAAGTAGAATGTTCGAAATTAAGCTCTTATAAGCCCGGCTTCACAGCTCCTGTGGTTTTAAAGAAAACTCTGAAAAGTTGGTGTTGCGCGCCAAAATGTTTCCGGTAAGAACGTTTTTATTCAAGTTTAATGCTCCCGAAATGTGTCTTGCCATTTTTTTGTTTTCAGAAAAAAAGGTGTGCGTGGTACTGTACAGTATATTTTTGGGCTGTATGATTGGTTGAGGTGGCCCAGATTTGCTTTGAGATCAGTAGAGACTATTTTGAAAATGTATGGCAACCATCAATGGCCATTTATGCTCAGAATTAATCAATAGTTCATCCTTGCATAGTACTGAGAGCACATGCAGAACCTGATTGCAACGTTCAAAATGGGAAATGGCGGCCTGAGCAAAAACATCTCCGACTTGGAGCAAAAAATGAAGCAGAATTTCCACCTCTTAAATCAAATAAAAATAAAAGAAAAACCACTCCCGAAGAACGAAATTTGTGCGCCGTGTGTCCCGACAGGAGATCGCGTCAGGGAAGTACACAAACCCACAAATCCACCCAGTGTTGCCAGCTGTAAAGTGTAATAAGCATAAAGACTTCAGCCAGCGACGAGGAAGAAAAAAACTATGGTGGTGGCAACCTTGGCCAGCCACTTTTTTCCTAAACTCCGAGCATCCCTCCCAGAACCAGCCAGCACCATCTCAGGCGCTAACCGAAGTACTGAATTTACTTTTTGTTTTCTTGAAATATTTAAAGAACCTGAAATAGATTTAAACATTAAATCTGCTACACCTACGGTAGCAGAATAGATTCGCTTTGGAATTGGCCTCGAACCTTTTTTGAAGAAACAAAAATACCGAGACCCTCTCTCAAGGTCATTCATGCTCCGCATCAATCGAGAGTTGACCCTTGTGTCTTGTCGGAGCGACGCGCAGAACCTGATTGCAAATTTCCTGGCCAGAAGAAAACCAAAAAAATGGCGGGCTGACCTGCCGTGACGCTGGCAATGGCGGCGACGATTAGCAGCCACGCAGCCCCCGCGTGCATCATGTGTTCCTGGTGACGATCGTCTCCGAATCCCATGGGCACGGTCCGGCGAAACGGCTGATCCCCCGATCCATTTGAAAGCGATGTTTTCTGGTAATCACTCGGCTTTTCTCGGCAGCATTTTACGCAAATCAAAATCAAGGCGATGGGAAGAGAGAAAGGGATGGATGAAGGAGAGACGGTGTTGAAATGATGAATCCGACGCTCGTAATTTACACGTGAGATTCGCGCTCTTCTTCGTATCGCGGCGGATGACTGAAGCTGCTTGGGGCGAAAAGGTGGAAACCTTTTCTGGGGATTTCCAAGTACAGTATTTGTATGAACTGATTTACAGTACTGTACAGTACTTCTACGAATCAGTGCGTTAATTCAAAGAATTCGAGCGTCATTGTTTTAGATGTTGAAGCGAACCCTTATGAATTTATGGGGAGGGGTTCGCTTTTAATTTCAGAATTTTCTCGGCTTCGGAGTCATTAATTTCTCAAGTATAAAACGTATCGTTCATTTGTGTGTGCAGTGTAGAAAGTCAAATCTCGTTACAACGCACTCCCCATGAGAAAGATATTATTTTTAGGTGCAAAAAAATTCTTTTCAATAATAAATAGTTTTTTATTATTATTTAGATCTTGAATTTCGTTGGAGAAGGCTTAAAAAGCTTCCTTCGAGTAATGCTTGAAGAATTATCGTGTAAATGCAATTATCTTGTCTGAGACCTTCCCCTTCTCCAATCTCTTCCAAATGTTCTGGTCTTAATGAAATGTAAACTGAAACAATCATACGTTTTTTTTTTAGAAAAGCATTTATTCATTAAATGCAGTATGATGCATGGAAAAGAGGAGTACATTACATTCTTCCGAACGTGCTGTTCCTTTAAAAAAAATTAGCCACTTCGTAAATCTTGCCAGATAAATTCTTAAATGATCACCATGTTTCATCGCTTTTGTCCCTGTAATGCTAAATTTATATTCTCTGATGATTTCTTCATGATACACGAGTTGGATTTCCCAGTTTTTGTTCGAATTACGATAGTAAAAATTCCTATGGCTCATATTCACAAAATCAAGGCAATAAACTGTAACACAGCAGAATACCGTCATAACGAAGTAATTTTTAATACGAATTATTTTTTGTGTTCCGTCTGATAGCCGAAATGTTATTTTAATTTCGTTTTAACGATTTTTTCTTTGCGACAAAGCTTTTTTCAGGCTTTGTTCTAACGAGGTTCTACTGCACTGAAATAAAGATCAAAATTAGTTTATTGCAACGAAAATTTTAAAACGTTGTTCCTTTGAAGAAACAGCTGGGCTGTGAAGAAATGGGTGCAGTTTTTGGGCCACTGGGTTCACTGGCGTTTTGCATGCGAATCTTACCAACGCTTTAAATTTTACTCTCGGCTTACCAAAGATAATTTTGCGTGTCTAGCGTGTGATTAAATACGGAGTAAACCAAGGGAATGGGAACAGGCCACTGATTTTTTTTTTTTTTTCAAGCCGACACTCGGACGCCGTTCAGTAGTCGTCGACGCGACACTGACTTTGTCTCGCGAACCCGCGTCGATGCGAGAAAACCTGAATACGAACGCACACGCTTTTTCGCAGCCTTTTCGCGAAACGCACTGGTTTGGCAAGAAGTTGTGCAAATTTCATGTGTCGGGAGTTTCGAAAATCTCTGAGCTTCCCGTTGTTTTTTTGTTTTTTTTTTTAGAGAGAGGTGATTTGTTGGAACTTGGAACAAATTTGATCGCCGCAAAATCGAGCCGCTGAGGCAGTTTTCTATTCGGGACGAAGATTGCCTACATATTTCTGTATCAATTATGGTAAAAGTATCGGTTATTGAAAAGCGAGAACACTTCATTTCCGTATGCCCAACATTCCACGCCAAAAGATTTGAAATTTCAAAATACAGTACATTGTATTTTCACATTTCTACGTTTTTGATGACGTTCAGCTATAGCTGCTTCATGGGTGCTTGGCTTAATTTTTGCAAGAAGCAGAAACTTCCATACCTGCCATAAAGTTTATCAAGCAACATTTTTTCCAGTCTGTAAACATTTTATGAAACTTTGCTGGTCCACTGGCAATTTTTTGGGAATTTGCCAGTCTGCCGAACATTTTATGGAAATTTGCCAGTCAAAAAGTACAAAAAGGTTTGGGAACACTGGTTTAATTAATTTAAAATTATCTGGGAACATGATCAAAAGCTTGTGCTTTAATTTGTACTCCGTGTTGTTGTAAATTAGTTAATTTAGATCTTTTACAATTCTTAAATCCAGACGTCTCTAGATTCTCCAATTGTATAACTTACCGTCGCAAGTTGTATTTAAACTAATTTCAACAATTCCTTGAGAGGAGATTTCTTGATCCTTGTTACCGGGCAAAGTAAATTCAACTCCTCTTTTATCAAAATAGGTGAGTGAGCTTTATTTCGTATTCAACAGCAAGGATACCGTACTCTAACAAACTTTGGACAGCAATGAGCGCGCGATCAACAGAGAACAGGCAACTATATAGATTTGCTCAGGTAAGGTTGGGCAAGAATGGTCAAACCCGGATTTGACCTCATTCTAGGTGAAGTTGCGTAACCTTGTGGCACGTGACTCACGAGAGATCACGCGGCAAAACCGTGAGCCAGACAACGTGACTTTATTTGGAGCGTCGTCTGCTAGGTGAAAGGGAACTCAGCAAAGTTATTGATGACATCCGTTATTGTTGTGTGCTGTGATTTTTGTCATTCTTGAAAACAAATAGTGAGACCCCCACATGCGGACACCTCAACCTGTGGACAATTCAACGTAGGGACACTTATTTTCCAAGAAAAAATTAATAAAAAAGGCATGACATGAGGACACTGTCTCAAAATAGGGACATTTTGTGATACAGTTGGAAATAAATGTCAAACCAAATTACAAGAAACGGATATTTTCCAACCCTAAAATTGATGTGAGAAAAGTTCTTGGGTATTTCTCTCACCAATTTACCAACCATTTAGCTAATTTATAAAAATTACCTCCAGCATAGAGGAACCTCTACTTTTTTCACTTGAATGTTATTTTTGTAGATGCCAACATTTCAATGTACAGTACAGAGATCCACTATTCAATGCTCCAAATGTTCTTATTGAGTTGAAAGTGTATTCATTAATTCAAATTCAAGTGGCAAACAATTTTTTTCCGGGAATTCTGAAGAATATTTCTCCTGTAAAACACCAATTCAAAATAATATTATGTAAGTCTATGGGAAAACAAGACTTGACTTAGGTACAATTCAACTTAGGGACACTCTTGATGCACCAATTATGTCCGCATCTTGGATCTCACTGTTGATGGCAATTCATTATTCATGCATTTTTATGTAATGTGATGCATTTTCTTCTAGTATGTACCGGTACACTACTGTACCTATACAGCAAATTATATTTGATTGGCTGAAATGTGTTGAATGGATGTGCGGAGGGATGTGGGGAAATGCGTGTAAACCTTGTGCATGCTGACAAGCAACAAATAAAAGCGTGTATATAAATCAATCAACTATTAAATCATCTGGAAATGTGATACGAAATTTCAACCTATGAATTAGTAAGTAACGCGGATTTACTTTTTGAAAATTTAAGGATTTTAAGCTATTTCCCAATTTAGTTGGAATTTTGAGATTTATATTCCGTAAGGATATTTTTCTGATGTGCAATTTCAAGTAGTTGGCATTCTTGTTTTTCGCCTGTGTGAATATTTCATTTTTCGAGTTGATTCCCTGTTGAAAATGAGCAGTAATGTAGAATACTTCATGATTAAACCCCCGCCATAAAGCTTTGATGCGAGAGAAACAAGGGAAAAGTGTTAGTAACATAAATTGTCTCGCTGCAACTTCTTTTTTTTTTTAGCTTGTTGCGCAGTTCAGTTTTTTCAGACAGGTAGAGAGTAATGGAGGAAAGTGCCGAGTACGTGTTGGTGCCGGTGTCGTCGACTTGGGTTTCACTGACGAATCGTGCCTAATTTTTCGCACTTCGTCTCCCCGTCGGGTCTTACTTCACAATACTTCTCCTTCGATCCGGTTTCCGTTTTCGGTGGCTATTTTTCTAATTCGGAGAAGGAGCTTTTGTTAGTCAGAATCAGGAAGAAGCAGCCGATGAAGTTTCAAGGATTTTTCTTTAATTTTTCGTATTAGTGTTGGCCAAATTGAGAGACGCACTTTTTCTATTGAAGAGAAATTGAAAAATTCGGATGTGTCCTATGTTATTACAGTACTGTATTCATAGGTTACAGTGAATAACAGGTTTGGCCGATGGTCGGAATTTTTTTTTTTTTTTTTTGCGAGGAATTCTTCTGGGGAATTCTTTGGTCTCAAATTTAAATCAGTATTGCTTGAATTTTCGACCGAGTCAGATTCAGCACAAAATCATTCAAAGTTTGGTAGCATATTGCGAACCGACCAAGCTTAATTTTTAATGCGTTTTGTGGCCTTCAATACGCAATTACGAAGTTTCTAGTTTTTTTTGCAAATTAGTGCCTTCAATCGGCTGCCAAAAATTGGGGTGCGATTTGAAATCATGCTAAAACATGATTTCAAATTGGAGGAACAAGCCTGAGAGTGGAAAATTTCCGAAAGAGAAAGGTCAAAAATCAAAATAAATGGGATACGGTTTGGTTAATTTTATGTACAGTGAGACCCTGAGATGCGGATGTACAGTACTTGGTGCATTGAGAGTGTCCCCAAGTTGAGTCTCATTTTCCCTTAGACTTACCTTCTATAAATTACAGTATAATTGGCAAATTATGGACAAAATACTCACTATAATTCCATGAAAATAAAAATTGTTGTCAATTGAAACTGATTCAATTGATATATTTCAACACAATATGGACATTTGGGGAATTGAATACTGATACCTCCATATTGTACTTGGAAATGTTGGCATTCTTTGTAAAAATAACATTCAAGTGAAAAGGTGAGAAGCAAGCCCCTCTATGCTGGAGGTAATTTTTTATTACTTAAATGGATGGGAAATTGATGATAGAAATGCCAAAGAACTTTTCTTACATCAATTTTAGGGTTGGAAATGTCTGTTTCTTGTAATTAGGCTTGAAATGTATTTGCAATTCTATGACGCAATATCC